CCCCAGGCACATCCCCTGGACAGGAATCGACCCCGGGACCCTTCAGTCCGCAGGCCGACGCTCTACCCACTGAGCCACACCGGTTAGGGCTGCTGCTTGTTTCTGTTCTGGATGCTGGTGGCTCGGGCATGGTTCATTTTTGGTTTGTTTTCTGGAGGAATTCACCAAGCTGTTCACGTAGGATTCGAGCGCTTTTCTGCACGCTCTGCTTCGAGAGAAAGTCCTGAGAGACCTGAAGGCGTGCGCTTTGCGTGGGACAGATCCTGCCAGGTCGCCTGGTGGAGAAGGAAGCGGAAGGCAGGTGGAAGGAAGCGCCGTTTCCCAGACTCGCCAGCGGTGGGCACCATCCGTCGTCTTCATCTGGCCAATCGGTGGGTGGAAACGGTGTCTCGGGTTTACTTCATGCAGTTGTGAGAACGGCAGCTTCTGAGCGAGTCCGACAGTCTCTCCAGGACATGGATGGGTCGGACTCTGTCTGTTACGGGCCACAGAGTCGCCCTGGCGGGGTTGTGAGCCCTGGGTTCCTCAGTTCTGACAAACATGGACCTTTGGACTCACTCCCCACGAGGGATGGATGGGTCAGAGACCAGGAGAAGCTTAAGGCTTCTTGGTGGACACTGGATGGCCTTCCTCTGCAGCGCTCTCCCCTGTCCCTCAATAGAAACACAGAACTCTGGGCCTGGCCAGGAAACTCCCTTGGTTAGAGCGTCATCCCCACGTCCAAGGTTTCTGGTTCGATCCTGGGTCAGGTCACCGACAGGAACCAATGAGTGTAGAATAACGGGACACATTGGTGTTGCGCGCTCTCTCTCTCTCTCTCTCTCCTGCCCACAGACCTCTTTTTATTTTATGATTTAACGTGGAGAAAGGAGGAGAAGCAAGACCAGTCCCGACAAGCCATAATGCTTAGGTTTGGCTGGACGGGGCAGGGACACTCTGAGGTTAGTTTCTCTCTTCATTCAGTCATTTCTCTGTTCTTAATACTTGGGTTGAGCACACAGGAGAGAGTTAGAGATTTGACAACCAAAAAATGGAAAAGTCCTAAGAGAGTCCAGTCCCCTTAAAGCCCAGACACGCAGCAGACGGACGTTTGTAACGTCTAGGGTGGAGCTGGAGGCCCAGGATGTCTGAAGAGCTTTCACAGACCAGAGGAAGGGACAGGCACCTGGGGAACAGCCGCGAGGGTCGGAGCCGCACGGAAGAGGACTCACAACGGCCCAGGGTGACATGCGAGGAGGCGGGTCACGGGCAGTCGGGGAAACACAGGGTAAACCGGCACAGCCTGTGCGGAAGGACGTTTGGGAAAATCTATCAAATGACCCGTGAACACGACCAGCGCTTCCACCTCCGGGGCCTGGCCTCCAGGTCCGCGTGCGTCTGTAAACCACCACGTGCACGGTGAGTCATGCTGGCCGTTTGTGGGAGCAAAAGAGGAGCCGCCTCCCCAGTTAAACGTGAGCTGCACAGACGGCAGGCGCAGCACCGACTCAGCTCCCCACGCACGGAGTGTCGCCCATGTTTGGAAAAGTGAAAACGCTCTGTTCCCACGTGCACGGGTCACTGAAGTCACAGGCGCAGAGGATGACGCACAGCCGACGTGACCCGCGTCACCTGGAGACCAGTGAGGAGGCCGACCCCGTCCCTGCGTGGCTGGCAGCGACACGAGTCAGATCCTAGATCTATTTAAAGGGGAGCCGCTGGGCTTGGCTAAGAGAGTGCGTGTAGGTGGGAGGGGGGCCAAGGTGGCATGAGGACCTGGGCCTGACGGGGTGCTGGCGCCGCAGTGTCTGGGGGAACACTAAGAGCCAGAGTAAAGCTCAGACATCTGGGCGGGTGGAGAGAGGGGAGCGAGCGACAGGGATGATACGTGAATGATAAATGGCTGAGTGAGTGGAGCATCGATCGTGAACTGACTTGGTGGGAAGGGGCAGCCCAGGGACCCCCGAATCAGTGAGGGCTGGGTTACACCTGAGATGCCTGTTCGGCTGTAGGTGTCCATGGCAAGGCGGCAGCGGGACCTGGGAGCTGGGGGCCAGGACTGGGGACTGGGTGAGCTCACTGGGAGGCGAGTGCGGACAGAGGGAGGCGAGGAGGGGGAGCAGCGGCTACCGGGGCTGCAGGGTGGGGAGACATCTACGGCAGGGAGGCCCTCGGCCCAGGCAGGAGGCACCTCAGGGGCCGGGAATCCAGAGGTGACGGCTGAGAACTGCCCATGGGCCCTGCAGCAGGACGGCCCAGGGACCCTGACGGTGCAGCCTGCGGTCCGTGAGCACGGACGCCCCTCCCGGCTGCTCTCGAAGTGCACACGTGGATGGGCCTGTGCAGCGTCTCCCTGAGCACAGACTCAGGCGACAGCGGGGCCAGGGACACTGAGATCCGTCCCGGCACCTCGAGTCCCTGCTCGGCCATATCTACCCCAGGACCCCTGGGCCAGCATGAGAGCAAGACTATGGAGGACCCGCAGGGGGCGCTGCACCACTGGGTGACGGGAGTAGGCTTAAAGGTTGGGCTCAGAGTGTCACTTTATTCATACCCCTCCCCACTGTGTGTGGGGGAATGACACACGTCCAGACTGTAGTTCTGAGCGCAGGATGGGGGTTCGGGTGGAGTCCGCGGCCCTGCCCTGGGCTCCCGGCCCGGCCGGGCTCACACATGCTGCCTGCGGTGCCGCAGCACCTCCGTGGGCGTGAACAGAAAGTCTCTCTGACAGGCCTCGCAGTGGTAAGGCCTCTGCAGAGCAGACGTCTTCTGCTGGGGCTCAGGGGCGGCTTCCTCAGCCCCTGAGAGAGAGGAGAAGGGAGGCTGAGGGGGTGCTCCACAGCAAGCTCTCCCCACCCAAACCCCGGGCACCGAGGGGAATCTGGTTCTGTCTCCTCCAGGAAGCCCTCCTTGATTTACACATGTGCACAGACTGAGAGAGCCCTGGGTGGTCCGTGCACTGCAGCAGCAGCTCGGGTCTGCCTGCTACGGCATCCCTGGCTAACAACAGAGCGGATGCAGCTGCGGTAGCGACAGCTGTGGGACGGAAAAGAACAAGAGACAGCCACAGAGCGGCAGAGGCCGATGGAAAGAAATGAGAAAGTGGTGGCCCTCCAGGCCCTCCCCAACCCGGGCCCCGGGGTCTCTGTGACCCAAACCAGAGGGTTGAGGATGTCAGTCCTGTGTCCAGAGAAGGCTCAGATACACAGGAAACCGCCTTGGGACGGGCAGATGCCCCGCCCCCCACGGCCACGGCCTTACCTGGGGGGCCGGCCGGCGGGGCCTCGGGACAGGTGTTCTCGTGGGCGATGCGCTCCAGGGGCGTCAGAGGCATGTGCAAGCCGCAGTGGGGGCAGGTCCAGAAGGTGCGGAGACAGTCGCTGTACAGATCTGTGTCGCTCTGCGGGGGGGCACGCTGTGTCAGGGCCTTGCCCCGCCCCCAACAGCCAGTCTGGGTCCCTCCTCAGAACCCCCCGGGGGGCAGGCCCCATTCTGCAACTACCCCTGGACTGGGGTGAAATGTGGGTGGGGGGCTCCCTAAAATCCCACGTTCGGGGGCAGGAGGGTGAGGGGCCAGGGTGCCCAGGCTCACCGAGAGGCAGTTGTAGGTGAGGAAGTCGGTGACTGCGTAGCCCCCTTTGGTGGGGTGGGGGGACAGGGGAGAGCTGCCAAAGAGGCCGGGGAGGCTGGGGGCAGTGGTGATGGTCTGGGGCCCCACATAGAGGTTCTGGGCTTCAAGCCCCGTGAGCCGCCGGAGAGCGTAGGGGACCTGTGGTTTAGCAAAGGCCAGCTTAGGAGTACCCTAGTTAAGTTAATAACAATGTACCTACCTATATAGTTTAAGTTTAAAAAATTTG